CTCATTTTGTTTGTTTTGCCTTCTCCATTGTTGGTTTTCTTGTCGTCTTGTTTCACATTCTTAGTAATTGTCAAAAAAATTGGTTTTCTTTTGCTTTCATTGTTCCATTTCTTTCTGGGAATTGATTATCCTGACAAAAATGAATCAGTTTTCAATCTAAGAGCAAATCAAATACAAAGAAGAAATCATACCATGTAATCTTTAATAGTGTCATAACCAAGAACAACATCAGCTAATTTCCCTTAAAAAACACAATAAAAACACGATTTCATCAGAAACCGAGTAAAACAAAGATCAAAAATCTAAACCAAAAGATAAAAACTTACCATTCTTGTCAGGTAAAATAACAGAGACAATTCTTGCACCATAGTTTGTAACCTTTATAGAAAAATCATCCTTTTTGAGCTCATAAATCCCAAGCTTATGAGCTGATGAGACATGGGCAAGATTCCCAAGTGCCAAAATGATGAAACAGAAGAATATGGAAATCTTGGACATATTTTCTGGTTTAAGAACGGTGCCACTAATAAGTTACTGAAATGTTTGTTATAAGCTTTATAATCCACAAGAAAAACAAAAAGAATAATTTCATTAAAATAAGCCAGTGATGAGCTAGCTGGGGTTTCTTAGGATAATGACAAAGAGTCAATTAAACTAGTTTCTTCAAATGGATTATAATAGTCAACAAGTGGCCAGTTGTTTTGACTTCTAAGATGCAATAATGGAGAGGACCATAATAAACTTCCTTTTTCTTTTTTTTGTGGGTGTTGAGGGGGGGAGGGGGGGTAACTAATAATGGGAAGATTCAAAACAGATATGTTGAATTGAAAACCTAAAATTTTGAATAAGCATTGATTAAAGTGCCACAAGTTGCAAAGATGCTTGATCATGTGGATCACTGTAGTCTGCATTTTCTATGACAAATGGAAAGATAAATTTCAAAGGAAGAAAATTGGATTACCATTTTTGGTGTAGTTTGTAATGGAAAATGACTAGGCATTTCTAAATGACAAGCACATTATAAGTGAACCTAGGACCATGCTTTTGGTTGGAATGATGAATAATGGAGTCAAAGTCTCAACAATTATGTCATATTTGGCATGCAATCTTAGATAAAATTAAACGCTAAAAAAATAAAAGTTTGTTTGTAATCATCATAGGTATCAAACATTATCTGAAAATTTCCTAATTCAATGGAAATAATTCCATACGATTGCACTACATGAAAATCACAATATGGTTTTATCATATTCCTAAGGATCAATTTATCCATTTATCTTGTAGAAGCTTGGTAAGAATGATAAAGGAATTAAATTGGTTCATGTTTATTAACATTCAAATCATTTTTTATCCACAAATTTTAATGGACCTACAAGTACTACCCACTCATCCACCGTTATTTTCTATTTATTTATAATGCAACTGTTTATAAACACTTTCTGAACATGCTCATCTATTTATAAACTTATGATACAAGTTGCAAATTGTGTTATAAAATCCACCTAGTCCATGATTAATGGGTGATCTGACATGAACTTTGCAAGATTATGAAAAACATAACAAGTACTAAGTGATTATGAGGTATCTTGACGAGTGTGTTTTACTCACAAGTTAAGCTAATTTTAACTTGATTTTAAGCTAGATTTCACGAGTAGAGAACTTTTTTAATATGTGTATTATTGTTGTTTTATAGGTTTATCGACATAGCGAAGGATACAAAGAAAGATTATTAAATTAAAGTTAGTGGCATGGATGGAAAAGAAGTTGTGATAGAGTGGCAAAATAGGCAAAGATGGGACGAATGGCACCAAAACGCAAGAAACCAAGAGCATCGCCGAGGTTCTCGGCGTGTGGGGCGCCGCAGAGCCCTGAATGTGGCACTGCGGCGCCCACACTCTAGTTCTCTCTTGGTTTCTTGCATTTTGGTGCCATTCATCCTACCTTTGCTTTACCTATTTTGCTCCTGTATCACAACTTCTTTTCCATCAATGTCACTCACTTCAATTTAATAATATTTCTTCGTATCCTTCACCATCTCGATGAACCTGTAAAACAACATTAATACACACATTAAAAACGTTCTATACTCGTGAAATCTAGCTTAAAATCAAGTTAAAATTGACTTAAACTCGTGAGTAAAACACAGTCGTCATATCTCAAAGGCCAAATCTACTGTCTCGATGTAGTTGTCTCATCCTTGTCCCACCAATCCATTTTTTACACCTCAACACATTATCCCTTAATAGAAAATGGGAATCTACTAAGGTGTAACGTGCTGAGGTATCAAAAATTGTGTTGACATCTTCTAATTTTCAATGAAAAGGTGATGTGTCAATATGTCAAAAATATACTAGTAGGACAATAACTTTGAGACAATAGATCTAGACTTGTTACGTTAGAAATTGTAACCTTTATGCATTGATGACAAAACTGGGAAAATACTATGATTAAATGAAAGTGGAGCCACCATATATCGTGGTTACTAGATTAAATTCATCAATAACTATTCAACTTTATATTTAATGTCACCATGATAACTCAATTTAATTTTGTTTCATCATGATTGTCCAACTTTATACTTATTGTTACTATGGCCACCCAATTCAATTTTATTTTACCATGATCATCCAATTTCATATAACGTTTCATCATGGTCACCCTTTAACTAATTTTGAAAGGGGTAAAATGATAATTTTGCATTATATATATAAAATAAATTTAAAAAAATAAAAATTAAAGTTTTTTTAAGTTTTAAAAATGTTTTTTAAATTACTTTTTATTTTATTTTTCTAAGTAACATATTTTTAAAAATAAGTTTATTTTATTTTAAAATATGTTTTTTTTAAATAAATTTTTATTTTATTTTATTTTTCTATGTAACTTTTTTTTCAAAAATAAGTTTTTATTTTATTTTAAAAATCTTTTTTTTAAATAAGTTCTTATTTTATTTAAATTTTTTAGAATAAATTTTTATTTTATTTTTAAGTAACTTTTTTTTTAACATATATTTTTATTTTGTTTTGTAAAATTTATTTTATATATATAATGCAAAATTAACATTGTAGCACTTTTAAAATTAGTGAAAAGAGAGAACTAAAGTTGCCATAATGAAATGTTATGTGAAATTTGGTCGTCATGGTGAAATGTTATATGCAGTTAGATGATCATGGTGAAATAAAATCAAATTGAATAATCATGGTGACACTAAGTTTAAAGTTGGGTGGTCACTGACCATTAGTGGATTTAAAAAAAAAAAGGTTGAACCCCAACCTTAAGGGTCCTCCACCGCTCCTGTCCTGGAGTATCGTGAGGGAGGTAAATCGCAGGTTATGCCTCCAAGGATACAAGGTGAAAGGTTGCTTGTACCCATTGGTGGATTTAAACTATGAGCAAAGGTTGTGTATGTTCAGGAAATGAATGTAAAGTAGGATTGGGAGCTACAATTCGATCCTTCACTCTAGAAACTTCACTCTATGCTTATTTTGTAGAATGATATTTTAATTTCTGTGTGCTTAAATCTAGTTATAAAGTATTAAGTGTGTCTTGTAAACTATTTTCTTGTCCAAATATAGTACTTCATAATTTACTGTAAATTTAGTTATATAAAGTATTAAGCGTGTCTTATAAGCTATTTCCTTGTCGAAATATAGTACTTCATAATCTACTGTCTCGAAATTGTTGTCTCATTGTTGTCCCACCAATACATTTTTTATTTTTTTTAACACCGCAACACATTATCTCTTCACAGAAAATGGGAATCTACTAAGGTGTCTGTGTTGACATCTTCTAATTTTCTATGAAAAGATGATGTGTCAATGTGTCAAAAATGGATATTTCTCCTTGCACAGGACCCTGTGCACAGGGTCCTGTGCAAATAGCACAGCCCGTCAAAAATATATTGGTAGGATGAAAACTTTGAGACAACAGATCCGGACTTGATACGTTAGAGCTTGTGACCTTAATGCTATTGATGCCCAAACTAGGAAAATACCATGGTTAGATGAAAGTGGAGCCACCATATATGGTGGTGTATCAGTGAGCAAATTCAGGGAATGGAGATAAAGTTGGATTGGGAGCAACAATTCCATCCTTCACTCCGGGAACTTCAATCTATGCCTATTTTGTAGAGTGATATTTTAATTTCCATGTGCTTAAATGTAGTCATAAAGAATTGAGCTTTTGTTGTAAGCTAGTTCCTAGTTGAAATACATTACTTCATACCCATATAAAATCCCCTTGTTTCAAGAAAAGAAATAGCCAAATAAAAGATCGAAACACTGAAGATAACAAATAACACTGGCCTCGAACGCAATTAAATAACAGGTTATTATCAAGGATTTTTCACCGTAAGTTGCAAGCTAAATCTTGAACTACTCTAGTAGGTAACTTTCTTGTTAAGTTAATTACATAAGAAATTCTCTCTAAAGCTTCTCTTAGGAGTATCCCTTTACTACTCTCGATATAAGGGCGCCTATGACCTAACTACAAGCTCCCTTGTGAGGGAAATCGTCGAGCAAGTCTTTGGAGTCTTTAGTCAAAAATCTCGTAAGTTATTCAAGTCTTGTGTATCTCAAGAAGTATGTACAAAGCCAATAGGCTGTTTTAGGACAATTATTTTTGCTAACAATTTTTTTGATCAAATAGCTGTCCAAGATTACAACTTTTCAACTTATAATTTATGGGTTGGGGACAACAATTTATTCAAGTTTCGGATCTCAGAACTTCAGTTTGACACAACAAAATAATATAATAGAAAACGTTATTGGACTTTGACACCCGTTTAATGCTGCACTCTTTCTGGTTGAATACATTGAATAGTAATTATTATGTTAATCTGTTTCTTAATCAAATAATCATTTGTTTGAGTAACAGGCATGTGGATATGGCTGTACTTAGAATTATTTGCGTATGGTCAACGTTGTCGAGTGAATTGTGTTGTTTTCTTTTAATCGTTGAGCTATTTTTGAGTAATTATTCGCATCTTATGTTAGTCGACGGTACTCGCACAATATCAACTTTCGATCCTAAGAAATGGAGGACAACTGTGTCATCTGACTTCGACTATGATTATAAAATTATATTAGTGATTTTTACTAAATAAATAGAGGACGACTTCCTACGTTGAAGACTAATTCATCTAACAAGGCTTCATTGCCATGGCATCCCACAATTCCCATAGCATTAGTATTTTCATTCATCTCTTCATTTTAGTTTGCCTTACCATGACCATCGCTGCTACCACTAGTCCAGATGTAAGTCTCTCTCTCTCTCTCTCTCTCTCTCTCTGTTTGCACACTGACTTGTGGTACATTTATGGCGATTGAGTCCAGTTGCATAAAAGGAGAGATCATTTGAATGTATACAACCGTAGATACGAAGGAGACGAGACGACGATTAGCCCTTCGACTCTTTCTAATCTACGTCTCAAATTGGAATCATATGCTGGTATAGATAGGGCAACAACCGTAATACCGGCAATATTCAATGGAACACTTTATTATCCAAGCTGGGATGGATATCTCTATGCAGTAAAAGTTTATGATGGTTCTGTTATTTGGAAAAAGAATCTGGAAGAACTTCTCTGCGGCCTTAAATCCGATACATTGAGGCACGTTCTTAATGCGAACAGGACAATATCTTTAGCAACTCCAACAGTTGTGGGTGATATCCTAATTGTTGGAACATATGGACCGGCTTTTGTTTTTGCCGTCGATCGAGGAACGGGCGATCTCATCTGGTCTACACAGGTTGACAGCCATCCTGCCAGTGTTATTTCGATGTCTGGGACATATTACAATGAGTAAGTTCAGATTCCCTTTTCCTTTTAGTCTGCTTTATAAACAGAAAGTGTAAATTAAGTTCATCCTTCGCAGAGCATTTTATGTTGGAACATCTTCGATCGAAGAAGGCTTAAATGTCAAGAATTGCTGCATCATTTTAGTTTGCCTTACCATGACCATCGCTGCTACCACTAGTCCAGATGTAAGTCTCTCTCTCTCTCTCTCTCTCTCTCTCTCTGTTTGCACACTGACTTGTGGTACATTTATGGCGATTGAGTCCAGTTGCATAAAAGGAGAGATCATTTGAATGTATACAACCGTAGATACGAAGGAGACGAGACGACGATTAGCCCTTCGACTCTTTCTAATCTACGTCTCAAATTGGAATCATATGCTGGTATAGATAGGGCAACAACCGTAATACCGGCAATATTCAATGGAACACTTTATTATCCAAGCTGGGATGGATATCTCTATGCAGTAAAAGTTTATGATGGTTCTGTTATTTGGAAAAAGAATCTGGAAGAACTTCTCTGCGGCCTTAAATCCGATACATTGAGGCACGTTCTTAATGCGAACAGGACAATATCTTTAGCAACTCCAACAGTTGTGGGTGATATCCTAATTGTTGGAACATATGGACCGGCTTTTGTTTTTGCCGTCGATCGAGGAACGGGCGATCTCATCTGGTCTACACAGGTTGACAGCCATCCTGCCAGTGTTATTTCGATGTCTGGGACATATTACAATGAGTAAGTTCAGATTCCCTTTTCCTTTTAGTCTGCTTTATAAACAGAAAGTGTAAATTAAGTTCATCCTTCGCAGAGCATTTTATGTTGGAACATCTTCGATCGAAGAAGGCTTAAATGTCAAGAATTGCTGCACATTTCAGGGTAGCTTTGCCAAATTAGATGCTTGTACAGGTAAGATTTTGTGGAAGACCATGATGTTGCCCGATAACCACGACAAGACCGGAGAATATGCAGGAGCCGCCTTGTGGGGGAGCAGCCCTCCAATTGATCCTCGAAGAAATCTTGTTTACATTGCCACTGGAAATCTATACTCAGCACCTCAACACATTTTAGAATGCCAAGAAAGACAGAACAATGAGACTTCACCTTGGAAATGTCCATGTGAATGCGTTAAGCCTGATGATTACTCAGACTCGCTATTAGCCCTTGATATGGACACTGGAAAGATCAAGTGGTGGAGACATGAGATTGGCGGTTATGAGGAGTATGTCCTTGCATGGATAAATTCTTTAAACCCCAAATGCCCAGCTAACGATTTTGGTGGGGAGCCAATGATGCAAGGTATACATGTTAATGGAACCATACAAGATACTGTTTTGGCAAGACAAAAAAATGGGCTTACTTGGATTCTGGATCGCAACAATGGGGAGATGGTCCGGTATATAGTCAATCAGTCCCCTGCCTTTTAAGCACGACCAAACATGCTGAAAATTTTCTATGTATCTTAGCTTTCACATTTCAGATATATAAAATCCCACATTGAGTAAAGAACAAAATTGACTTGTTTATATACTACTCTTGATGTACAACCCTTTATTACTGTAAAGAGTGCATCTTCCCTATTAGATCACGTGGCCAGCTATTACTAGTAGATATGAAAAGTGATGACAGATGAAACAGACTGTAATCTTCCAAAAGGTAAGGTACAACAAAAAGACAAAGCATGTCCAGCTTACAATGTTGATAAACGGGAAAACAAAGAATGAAGTGTAAAGCACACAAGTGACATTAGATTATTCAGAAGTGAACAGAATTCGAAAATTGACTATACATTACCTCATCAACCCACGACAACATACGAAGATTCATGGTAATAAACAAATATGATTTGCCAAGTTTATTATCATCTTTTACAGCAAGAGACCCTGCAAAAACTAAATAACACTGCAGCTACATGTTCACATGATATCTCCAAGATATTCCGAAGCAGTCACACTCATCTCCTCCACCCTGGTTGAAGCACCTTATCTGTCAACGATGCATAGAAAATGAGCGTCGGTCAGAATGCAGAAAATTCAAGTAGTAGAAAACTTAGTTTAAATCAACTAAATATCAGCTAATTTAGATACCTTTCAATAAAAAATTTCGAGTATAAATTAAATTGATATCTTCACCAATATTTTTGGAAAGGAAGTTATTGAGTTATTCCATTACTATCAAGCTAAACAGACACGGTGTAAAACAAAATGAATTGAAAAAAGACCAGACATATCATGTTTCATGAAATTGAAATTATCCACAATAATAGTCCCTTCTTGATGCAACTGCCCACCACAACAATAAATGGACGTGCATATAAACCTTTCTAGTACATCTATAACAAAAATGTCAATTGAACGGCAAATAAAAGTCGCTAAAAAGAAAGAGTTGACAAGTGAGAAATAAGTGCAATAGACAAAATTTAAGAAGATAATGAAAATCCTCCTCTTACCATCTCTAGAGGACACCAGTGATCTGCTTTTCTTGCTCCCTCCTTTGCCATTAGCTAGAACTGGCTTCTGCATCCGAGGTGACAATGAGCTCAATTTTCCATTTGTTGGGGCTGGTAGAGAATGACGACGCTCAAAACCATTTTCAGCCACATCATCAATCTTAGAAGATCCTTGAGCTCTGAGCTTTGCTTTTGCAGATTCAGTTGCCGCCATATAACTTGGTAAGCTTAGTGTGTTTTGGGAAGCATTCTCAGGATACTCCTGCTTTGCTGGAAGAGATTTCCTCCTCCCCATTTTCACCTTCTCTTTGCTATTATGTTCTTCCTTAGAGCTCAATTCCTCATAGACAGCTGGAAGTGTCTCCATATTACCACAAATATCCAAGGCATGCAGCTCAACTGCAGGATGATCATCATGTGTTGCATTAACTTGCTCGTCCGCTGTCAATGGATAAGGAGGAGCCTCTTTTAAAGCCGTTTTATCGACATTAACAACCATATCAACCAGCTTTGGAGGAGAATTAGTAATCTCCTGTTTAAAAACATTCGGAGCTGCAAAACTCGATACTTCTTTAGGACTCTGATGTTGATTCTCAGTTTCCTTTTCAGACGCCACTGCCATTGATGCAGAAACCTTTCTCAGATTGCGTTTGACCCTCTCAAGTTCATTCTGTGCCTGTTCTTGCACTGACTCTGTTCGATGACTTGTGATTTTCCTTGAGTTGTTTTTCAGCTTACCTTGCTCAAAAGAAGCTAAAGCACGATTGCCACCATTGTTGGCAGCAACAACCTTTCTGACACCCATTTTCAATTCTCCAGCTTCAGTCTCCACAGTAAGCATGCAAGACTGCTTTCGTTGAGGTTTTGCATCAGCCGTTTTCTTTGTCTGTGCGCATAATTCCCAGAAGTGGGAGAACGACCAACGCTCAAGCCAGTTCCAAGCTGAATTTGGTTCGGCCACATCATACTGAAGGCTCAAGGGCATGGCAGTCGGCAATGAGGCAAGAAGCTAGAACAAGCGGAAAAGAATGCCGTTAAATCCTAATACATTTGAGTTGAAAATTAATACAAAATCTGAATTTCTGTTATTTCAACACTTCCAAAAGTTGTAGAATCTGAATGAATTTGATGAGCATCATGCAAGATCACAGAAGGTAGATTTTGGATGCTTCAGAATTTTCCCCTTCTGTGTAAGCTGGCAGGGGGTTGATTAGGAGTAAGTTAAACTGTCAATAGTTTCAAGAAAGGATACTTCAGTTTTGCTTTTCTAGGCACAACTAACACAAATAGCTGGACTAAGGAAAGACAGCAATGAAAAATAATTCTGCAATTAGAATTGAACCAAACACACGTCTAAATGAAAAAATAAAATCAGCAATACATTAATCCACTTTGAAATAATTTGTCAAATAAATCATCACAGATTGGGATCTTCAGATGTTAGTTCCAAAGTGGAGCTCATTGATGTAATGAGTTTATGATAGCTAAAGTAAGTAAAATCTAGCCAGCCCTGACAGGTGATGAGAGAGGAAAAGGATAATATTTCGTTCTTTACATGACTGTACATTCATTGAAAATAAAGACACTTTTAGCTCTTCAAGTCAATAAAGAAAATGAAATATACCTTGCAGACAAATGCATTTGTCACTAACTTCTCTGACCCAAGAGATGACTCTTTTACAAATACATCCGCCTTTTTAGCATCCTGATGAAGTATAAAATCGAACACGTTTGCTAAGTGGCACAAAGACATCGCAATTTTGATAAACAAATCAAAGGGAAAAAGGAAATTTAATTCCAACAGACAATATAGCTTCTCTACTTGCCCAAATCCAATTTTCTGCTCAATCTACATACAAGTACTTGTAGCCCAAGGAGTAAAAAGAGAAAAAGTAAAACCAGATATTATGAGGTTATGTCACTCAAAGTTACCTGAAGCTCTCTGGCGGTGCCCTTTACCATCACTTTATGTCTAGGATCTGCAAGTCTGACCCTTTGTCCACGAGCCAAAGCCTGCAATTTCAAAATTGATTGCATGCAATGCAAAGTGGCAAGTGCCTGCCTCCTAACCAAATGTCCGCGAATAAGAGCCTGTAGCCTTATTAAACCCTTTAGTGCCCGAAAAGCCCGACGAGCCTGCAGATTTAGTTGATGACTAAATCAAAACATTAACCATATAAAGTAAACTTAGTATACATGGAATACCAGGCTCATTTACAAGCATGGAACTAAATTTGACCTAAAGCACCAAGGATCCAAAACAATCTCCCCTTCCATAGGTGATCTCACCCCATCACACCGAACTCTCCTCTAAGCATGAAGTTTTTTCTCTTAGCCAAATGAACACCCTTCGGACCAAAATCTCTTGAAGAAGAGCCTAAATCTCACAATGGGACTTAGGCCCCCAAGAACAGAATCTGGATCCAGCAAACTGAACCCAAAGCAAGGAGAATAGGAGGCCATGAAAAGTGGACTGAAGCAAATCAGTAGCGCACTAAACCCATGAAGACACAGCAGGACCAAACACCAAAAAGAGCAGGCACCAAATGCTTGCGGATAGACCCAGACCATAACAAGAAAACAATAACTACATGCATAGGCGATGTGATGAACCTTCCATCTCTCAGGGTTGCATACATGCAATGGTACTAATTCTTTTGTGCATTGTCAAATAGGAAAAGCGAATTATCGATATAGCAAGAAGACAGAGTGAAAAAATATATATACACATTGACTGAACTGACCGAACATCCGTACACATTCAAGGAGAACTTCTCTTAACATGAGGGGTGTGAATGCAGTTTCTCCATACCCATGGATAAAGATGTTAAGAAAAATTAATGAATGCGGAGAAAAAAAATTCTGATATTGCAGATTAAAAGTAATACAGTTTAGAAGTTAACAGTAGGTTCCATGTTTGACTAAACCATAATGTTTTATTAAAAAAGGACCAAATTATTCGTCCTCCCTGGGAGCAACGTGCTCAGAGACTTTTAGAGATACAGCATCATCTCTATCAAAAAATCATCATTATCAATTGAGTTAGAAATATCATTTACAAGAGCATTACCATGTAGCCCCGAAAGGCTGCTTGTGCTTTTGTGGCAGCTTGCTCTTGTCTTCTTATTTCAGCATCATCAGATGAATTTGGTCCCACAATACCTTGCAAACCCAAACTCTAATCAATATGCGCTAAAGCAGCAGTCTCACATGGAAAGTTGGCAGGTGTACCTTTATCATATTCGGGATTTTCTGCACCTCTATCTGTAGCCTGATATGGCAGATCTGAGACAAGAAGCGGATTCACGGTGAGATCTCCCGTTGGTGCAGCAGTCCTTTTCTCAGCAGTAAAATTCTTCACATGGAATAATAGCTTGGGTTAGCATCACATTATCGTGGACTAAAAATTTTAATTGCCAAAAAATACAATCGAAGAATCACAGAACTTTTATGGAAGTAAGGCCTTCACAAGTTCGAGAGGTGGGGAAGTAAATCGGTGAACTAATGAGAAGTGACATAATATAAACTTCAGCATGTTACAAAAGTCCCTTTATCCAACTCCACACTCTCCTAGTTACAAGAAACATCCCTACAAATTCAATGACCAAAAGAAACTGGGACTAGAAAAAACGGTCCTGTAACAGGAAAGACCGAAAACTGAGCTTTTCAGAAACCAGACGAAACCCCGGAATAATCTCGGAGATGAATTCTAGTATCACACTGTAACAGAAATACTGATGATCAAATGCATAATTTAGAACGGGTGAAATGTCTAGAAGAATTATAAACCATAAACAGCCCAAATAGAAAGAATGTAAATGAAGCAGCAGAATAAAAAAAACCAGGATATTGCACAAGAAAAAAGAAATTGAAGATAAACTAATATCTGTGCCAAACACAATGACGGGCCAGTGATATATCTCAATCATCGGATTTCAAGAGTCTCCTAATTGACATTTTAAATAATTATGAGGAATAGGATATCTGAACAATATAAACCACAATGAATTCCAGAATCACCTTCATAGTAGATTAATAATCTCAAAAAAGCACAAGTCAAAAGAGCCCCCAGTGTATCACAGAAAATTCAAGCAACATTTGTTTTACCATGACCAATAGGCATTGTACACCAAAAAATTAGAAAGGATCAACAAAAGATAGGGTTATTTGTAAAATAAGAGCTGATACCAGGCACAAGTTTTTTCTCGCAGCAATGGGGAAGAGAATCATGAAACTATACACAAATTAAAATAAAAGACTAGCCAAAAACATTCTTACTTTAGATAAACTAGACTTGGAAGACTTTTTTCCAAGTAGTACAGCCTTGATCCACCTTCCAGGAGATTTCCCCATCGCTACAGACCACCGCTAGAAACAGCCGTCTCTCAATTCAAACCCTGCACTATTTTCAAAAGGTTAAGCCTTAAAATACACAGTCGCAAACTGCAACTTTAGACTGTATTGTGTATTATAAAATCAAGCATATACAAGAGTAAAGGCAAAACAGTATAATTTGTAAGTCTGATTTTATTTGCCTGTCAAAAATCACTTTGTTTAGAAAAGACTACTAGATAACATAAACAAACAAAGTACAGAACTAAAGAGCAAAAAGGTGTAAAACACTCAAAAAATGTTCACAACTTATGATGCAATTTGGTTATCTTCTCCGACTTACATTACAATTAACTAATTTAATCATGCATAAGTATATAAGAAAAAGATGTGTTTTATGCATATCCCCAAGAAAATGATTTTTGGTGTCAGCATTTAGATTTAGAACTTCAAAGAAAATAATCTTAGTATGGTGATGATAAAACTAAAATAAAAACCTGAGAGAATAATAAAGTCCAATTTTCTAATATTACTATTTTGACAGACAATTATACTTCTCTAAAAACAGCACACGGAAAAATGAGTTCCATTTAATGCATTCACTACTTGAAAAAGTAAAAATTCACTACATTTTTACATGGAAAGAAATTAAAAAACATAATTATAATTATAACTGGCTAAAAATTAAGCAGTGCGAGTAAATTTTATTTCCAGTAAACTAGAAAAGCACGAACATAAGTACCCACACAAGATCAGCCTAAACCCATAAGAAATAGTAGAAGCCCAATGTATGTGCAATTGAAGAAAAACAAAACGAAACGAAACAAAAAACAAAAGAAGCGAGATTATGGGCAATGTGGCTTAGATCTGTAATTTCTACACCTGGTAAACAAGGTTCAAAGGTTCAATCCAAATTACGATCCCGTAGCAAAACAATTTTTCTAAAAGCACGCAAATTTCATAGAAGGGAAAATTTGGACGAATGAGTCACCAATTGGAAACCCAGTTATAGATAGAAATTCCAGTTGAAAGCTTGATTGAAATGGAAGTAAAAACATAAGGATGATAGATAGACATTTCAGTTGAAAGCTTGATTGAAATGGAAGTAAACATAAGGGTGATAGATAGAGAAAGCAAGTAAGCATCGGAGGCCCCTACCTTGAAGTACTTCGATGCACTCATGGTAAGGAATATGGGCCCCTTCACACTCTGGTTTCTGCGTTCTCTCTCTAATTGGAGAATGTGACATACCGAGATGGAGTTTGAGCCTCTTTCTTTGGCAAATAAAATATATATTTTTAAACAATATTTTGACATCATTTTAATTACATATTTTTTAATAAAATAATATTACACGTAAATTCAAAAAAAAAATTTATTTTTTAACCAAATATTTTCCATCAATACATTATTCAAAAATATATTTTTGTAAAAAAAATGGAGCTCAAACAATGGCTAAAATTAATTATTGATTTTGAATTGAACTCTCACTCAATTTTTAAATGAAACCAAACAAGGCCAACGGCTTAGTAAAGTTTGTTTGCTGATTTTGCGAAGTATTTGTGAATTTTGGACCAAAATGTACCACTTTTGTCTCTACTAGTTATGCATCAACTGGATCGTGAAATTTTTGAGTTGACGAGTCACTTTAAGTAACCAAATTTCCAAAAATTGTTAGGGAAACTATAATATCTGACCATCACACATTGACAATTGGTCCGTATTTACAAGATACTACTTCATTGCTCACAGGGTCAACAAATTAAGCCCGTATTCAACTTGATTAAACATAAAATAAATATATGACATGCATTTTGAATAAATTGTTACATTCTCTAATCATCGAATGGGACATGGAGTAAAAAGTTGGGATGGTAGTTGAAACATCAACTTCATGTCTTTGCACGCACAGTTACAATGTAATAAGTTAGACATCATTCATTCTTTTGTCCAATTGTCCCTTGATGGAACCACCCAAACCTATACAACAATCTCAATATATATATATAATCCAGCGTCGTTGACACAAATGCAACTTAATTAAACAGGGTCCAGGCTAAAATACTCATCAACCCATGATGCCAGCCTGGATGTTCACAACCACAATCTGTATTTTCACTGATATTCTTTTTACGAATGAAAAATGAGGGGAAAAAAAATATATCAGCACAGATGAATATATATAAACCCATAAGGAACTTGAACGAGGCAGGTCACGTAAAGCAGAAATAGTGGCGGCGTACATATGCACGCTTAACCATTAAAATTCTAAATATTCAAGCTCCCATTGTACAACAACCATCACAAAGAAGTATTGATGATCAACTCCTGCATTTCTTGCATCAGAAGGAAAAGAATTGAACACTGAACTTTAAGATTGTTCCATACCTACCTGGAGTAATGGCAAAAAAGTAAAATTCGATAAACTTTCATGCAATCAGATAGGAGGTATTATTATGTACATACAAGAGAACACATCACATAAGGATGAAGACACTTGGGAATCGCTGGGGACAAACACATGACATAATATTCTTAAAAATGTTTTTCCAACATCAGTCACTAATGTAGAAATGGTACTAAAAAGGCATTTTACTGAAACAGAGAGAATTCTACAAAGGAGAAAGGGCATTGTAACATCGACCTGAGCTCACAATTGCAATCTCTGGTTACGGAACCTTTGAGAGAACATTTAATCTGCCATCCAACTCTGCTCAACAATTTCACGCACTTTCCTATTGTATTCACGTTTGTTTTCGCTAAACATCCGTGCAGCTTCAGAATTGGCTGGTGAGTTAGGATTTGGATCGCAGAGCAGAGACTGCAATTATATATGTTAAAAAAAGAAAAAGTTAAACTTGAGCAAGGGACCAATGACCACTGGAGTTGCTAATATTAAAACACAGGCTCCTAAATTTTTTGTGTCAATATACAACTTCCGCTTGAAAGAGCAGCCGTGCAACCTAACAAGAGCATTCCTGTTTAGACTACATGTTTGAAAGGTTAAATTAGTTAGTTGAAGACTAAAAACTCGAAGTTGAAAGAAACAAGATTTGGCTAAGATACCATAAAAATAAAGAAAATTTGATACCCTCTCATTTCTTTGTTCTCCATCCAATTTATCAGTTCTTAATAATTTCTTTATATTTTCTAGCATGACGTCAATCTTTGACTATATGCAACAAATTTCAAGCAACTACTCTTCAGGCATCCACTGTTAACAGGGGAAAAATGAAAGATAAAAGGAAAATTGGATTAACAACATTGAAATATGCAGAAAAGTCCAATGACATTGTTTTTTTGTTAAAAACTTTAAACTAGTAAAACAAGAAGATAGCAAGTGATAACTGATAACTGATAAACAGCTTACTTTCATCTATATATCTCCCTATCACGTGTTTGTGCATGATGCAATCCCAAGAAACTTGGAAAGAAGAGTGTGAATATAAAGATGAAGAAAGTCAAAGGAATTGAATGGTCTTCTTGGTTTTCTTAAAAGGCCATTATCAGGTTCGTATTGGCAAGGGCAAGCTTACATTGTACTAATAAGCCCTCTTCATTGAGACAAATTTACACACATATGTGAGAACGAATTATACCGGTAGCAATGAAAACATGATCACAGCATACTTATATCAAGGATATAACAGATGAAGTACAGAATTGCATCTTTACATATTCTCCAATTACTTCCTGAGACCTACTCATTATTTTACGATAAATCAGACCTCTTCAAAGAATATTCTGGACTTTTGTTGTTTTTATTATTTTTTAGAATCACCATACATTTAATAGATGTTCTATTGTTATAGCCCCCGTTTGGCTCCCATTTTGTAGAAATGAAAATGGTTGGAATAATGTTTTTTAAAAAAATGAATAGTTGAAAAGAAAAAATTTCGATTTACGTGTCATATTATTTTATGGAAGATTGTATGGTTGAAAATGGGAGAGAGAAAAATAAAATATTATGGAATAAAAATTAATGGGGGCCAAATGGGTGCATAGACTTATAGTTGTGTTCAGATTAACAAGGAGAGAAAAAATAGAATTTTAAAACCCTGTCATACCTGGATAGAAGTAAGTATTGCAGCTACGTCATATATCGGACTCCATTGATTTTGTAGAATATCCAAGCAAATACTTCCATCAGCATAAACTGGTGGATAACAAAACAAAAACATGAGAGCACGACAAACATGACAATCCCTCCAAGCTATAGAAAATTCGATAAGGAGAAAAAGGCCATATACGATGACTAACTCAGTAGACCAAGGAAATTGATCCACTAGTAAATTAGCATAGTTTACAACCAAAGACATTAGTTATGGCAGGGTATCAGAATTCTAGAAGTTTCCATTCGTCATGTTTACAGAAGCATATATTTGGGTAACACTTATTCAATGTGAGACCTCTTAATTTTCTTTCCCTAATTGTTTACAAGACATTAAATCTGAGATGTAAACCAATGCTGAAGAAAATAATGCTAAATCCAATGGTATCCAAATAAAATTAAAAACTAAATCATACAAATAGTAGAATATAAAGTGGGTTTTGATATTAAACAACTTAAAAGGAAAAGACCATAGCCTACAGACGTGTTTGCATTTTCAACTTTCTTCTTTGTATGCTTCTCTATAATATCTGATTTTTTTTTTCTAAAAAAAAATAAATAATAATAATAATAATAATAATAATAATAATAATAAAATATAAAATAAAATCGTGCAATACTTTTTAATATCAAAAAAAGATATGAATGAACTTATCAATCACGATAGCCTCCAATATCACCAAAATAGATAAAAAGGAGTAAATGAAAAACACAAGTAACCACACAACCAGTCAATTATAGTACATTACTCAAGATTCTATCTCTAGGAAGATCCTAAGGTATGGAACTCGGATGATATGCTGGTGCAGTACTTTAGTAGTACAGGGATATTGAAAATGTTCACTACTATGTAATAGCTTTAAAAAAATAAGCACATAACTCTGATGTATAGGCCAGGATTTAAAAGGAGAGGGGGAAAAAAATTGAAATCTTGTTGAGGTAGATAAAATTTTAAACAAATCAAATGGAGAAGCCAAAAGGAGGAATATGACATGTATTCTTAGGAAAAATATATTAAAATCTATTCAACTAATAGAGTGAATATTTCCTTCAGAAACAAGGTATAGATTACTGGTAAAAGGGATATTAACTAAGGAAGTGTAATAAGATTGATATCCTGAAAAATTATTAAAAATTAGATGTTATAAGTATTAATTATCAGAGGATTGAAGCATAATACTTTTTATATCAATCTTCATATAACTTATGGTTTGAGATGTAAAACAAATAAAATATTCAGGATATACCCAAATGTCAAGTAAAATGACTTGGAGATGCATGTAAAACTCAGCAAATAATATTAATATAAATTTAAGGAAACCCATACATGGATATAACTAGCGGCATAAAGCCATTAGCTATCTATCTAACCTGTTTGGCTAGGAATAATGTATGAACATAAGATTCTCAATTCTTACAGTACATCAAGGATTACAGAGAAAAATATATACAGATACAAGCAGGATTAAGTTCTTGCTTTATTTTTGTTGACATCCAATGCTATTCTTCTTTGTTCTGAAATGCCTGGAGTTTACAAAGGTACGAATTAAGACATGAATTTTCAAAGGAAAGTAATTCTCTCCTTTTTTTTTATCTCGCTAGATCTACAGATCTGCACTGTTAGGATTGGCCATGTGATTCATGTGAATCATGAAAGCGAGTAAAACATTTAGTTACTTACTATTTGGATGAAACATTCTAGATATAAATCGCACTGTTGGTGGTTTATTTGGGTAATCTTCCATAAATTGAAGAGTCAACTTAAACGTCCCTGAAAGCAAAAAATAAAATTATAAAATAAAAAATATTGTAATTACAACAACACAAAAGAATTACACTTCGCCCTGTGATAAGATGGGGGCATGAGAAAATCATAGTATTCAGAAAACCAATCTTTTGAAGCAAATTCCATAAAAACTTTCCTGTCAACATCAAAAGGTCCAATGAATGAATTTCCGTATTAGTCTAGCTCATTTTTTAAGGCAATTCAGTAGAAAAATAACGTTGATGAAGGTGTGTAGGTAGCAGGTACACTATTTTGTGGTGTTGACTTTACCATTTCGTCCAAGAAGAGGATTTCCTCTACTTTTATGAACTATACAAGAATACTGTTTTTATCGTAAAGGAGATATTGGTTGTGTAGAAGGACAAAAATGGATTTGTATTCACTAGCATGAGGATTATGTAAGAAACAAAAGATTGTTGTGATTATGGTTTATAAATTAAAACATTCTGAATCCAATTACAAGCTCTTAATCTACACAACACTCTACCCTTGGAATGTTATGTGAACCAAATATGGAATGGACAGTCACATAACTAACTATAGCCTTGAACTAAGTAGCACAGACACGGACATAGGGACGCATGAATTTCTAAATTGTAAGACACAGACACGTCGATTTAAATTTTTTTAAATGCTAATTTATATATTATGTCTTTATTTATTATACTCTTTAATATAGAAAGAAGCACATGCCATGTCCACTTGCTCGAGGAATATAAGTCGATCTTTAGAAATTTTAAAAATATGTATATATAATATGATACAGTATTGGCTTGTCAGACGTGCATCACAGAGTGTCTACGTCCGGCACAACACAAGAAGCAGCCTTAGTAAGAGTGTGCATTATAGGTCTTGAATTAACATCTAACTATACAATACTGAGTTGGTGTAATGTATGTGGATGGGTCCAACATATTCATTTATAAGACTAACAGCAGTTATTTCATCACGTGGAAGTGAAACTAATGCAGAATCCAGTGAAAACCCTTTACTTCTATGTAGAGTTGCTGAAAAATCATGTCAATAACAGATGGATTGCATAGCTAGATCCATTAAATTGAGCGTCAATCGCAAGAGCATCAACAGTATCAACAAAAACGCAAATCTGCATAGCCAGAAACCTATCCCTAAATCCAATTCCTTAATTAACTCAGACACAAGGGATAGTTCACATGAAACATATAAAGAAAGCAATCATGATACAGCGTGAATGATCATAGAAATGTTTTAATATCGTGTGCAAGAATACTCTCACCTCCATCCCAAGGAGTATCATCTGGACTGCATTAAAAAAATAATAAATAATAAAAAATCCTGTAAAATCAAAACTTCAACCACCACCAATGGTACTTAAAAATTCCAGTAGTGTTAAACACTCTCAGGTTAGAACATACCCAAATATAACAGCATTCCAGAGCATAATATTATTATCACAAGGTGCGCCACTGATGCCAGCCGGAGGGTCCTGCTGCAACCGCTTGAAATCCCTCATCAATCGCTTCCTAGCCGGTGTCGACATCCTACCATACAACCTCTACTCACTAAACAATCTTCAAAACAAAATTAAACCGTAGATTCACAAACACTAGGCATACGAAGAGTCAATCAACTAGGGTTACATTTACATAATATACATATCACACACAAAAATATATATATCAGTAAGAGGGTATAATTTACCTATGAGTGAGTCCGGCAATTTACTTTCACGATTGGAGACAGAAACGTATATATATTTTTATTCATTTTTGTTTGTTGTCGGCCATTTATGTACGAATTTGAGATTTTGACTTCGAGTGAAGCATAAGCTGACGGTCATGTACGCAATTTTTTTTCCCCTACAATAAAGTTAGTTGTACAAACATAATTGACAATCTTGATTAACAGTGCTGTCAAAATTCGAGTTTTTGATATCAAAAATAATTTTTAAAATGAATGAAAATGATATTATGAAGTAGACTGTCAACAATGATTATACATATAGCACGATTTTCCCTTTTTTTTTTTTTTTTGGGCAAGTATGCATTTATATCGGAGCGGGGGCGCCTTTGACATCTAGGGGTCACGAACCAGAGCCGGACTTGATAGGAGGCCCAAGAGGCCTCCGCCTCAGGCCCATAATTTTAGGGGGCCCATTTTTTACTTTTTACCTTTTTTTTTTTAAACCCACTATATCCATGTGTTCAAAAGAAACGAATAAATACTTTAATAAGAAGAGAAGAAAGGAACACCGAAAAATTTATTTGTTGTTTTATTGTTGATTTAAGTTAACAAATTTAATTACGTAAATTTCTAATTTTTTATTTTATTTTTTTTAAAAAGGGATTGTTTGCTACAACTTAAGACCTAGGGCCCAAATTTCGAAGTTCGCCTCACGCCCCTCGAAGCACAGGTACGACCCTGTCACGAACCGACCATAGACCTCTGTTCAATAAGTAGAACGCATTAAATGTTTGTTCTCGGGTTAGATCTTTTCTATATCATACAACAAAGTACCCCAGACCTTTCGTATTGGGATTACGCTGCAATTATAGAACTGTAGCTTCACAGAAGGGTACCAGATTACTCACAATAGAGGTTAGGAAATTTTTTTGGCATTTTTTATTCATCGCTGGAGCCCACATGAGTCATCTAGTGCAATTCTGTTGACAAAAATTTCTGTACAAGTGACTTTTCCCTTCCTATTGTGGGGTCAAAAATTAAAATGCCATTTTTCTAAAACAAAATAATAGTAATAAAAATAAGTTAATACACTACTACAATTGTAGTCTACGCATCCTGATATTTTGAAAACGTCATATAATTATATTATTATCAATATTGTCAAATGAATTTTGCTACTTATATAGTTTTGTTTACCACCTTATTGACAAATGCGTAAACCAAGTTAAATGTACGAAGTAAATGAATTGAAATAAAATTCAAATTCAATCTAGAAAGTAAATGAAATTCAAATTTAATTCGAAAGTAATTTAAATTACATTCAATCTATAACGATCCTAAAATTTTTTACGTGCAAAAATAATAGACGTTAATGAAATAATTAAAAAAATTTAAAGGAAGACAAGTTAGATGCCTTTTTAAAGATGTACGTTTAACTATTTTCAATATCCGTTTGGATCATTCGATATAACTACGATATAGTTCTCGAAACAAGTTTCTAAGTGATGTAGGCGATCTGTAGATTCAGCTAGAGTACGATCGCCAACAAATTTTTAAAGTTAAAATATTATCGAAATTCTCGAAATACTAGTTTGTAATTGCATATTTTGACGCGCTCTAACTTTTGTTATGGTTGACCGTTTCACACACCATTCATAAGTGAAAAATTATTCCGTGAACACTTCAAAATTGTATTAATAATGCAATATTTCGACTTCGTTTGACATCCCGTATTGAGCGTCAAAGTAAGACGTGAAAGAAACGACAAAAAATAAAAATAAAAAATTGTGGGGGTCATTTGACCCCACATGATCCCATGTGGGTCCGCCCATGCATGTATACAAGTTAAATGAGTCCAGTCGACGAACAGGTAAATGGTTTGTATAGAAAAAAATTCAATTCAGCTCGTTTCATAACTCGTATTTAAATTGAGTCTAACCGGCTCAATGTGTAACATCCCGGCCGATATATATAGGTGGGAGTGGGATACAATTATTATCTAACATGAGAACATATGAAAATGGAATCTTCTTGACTAATTTGTATGATATTATTGAGAAAATTATGGCTCTCCTCCTAAATATTTTACATGGTGTAGTTATAGATCCTCAATATTTACAGGTGAGGCTCTAGACTCTCAATCATCTATGAACTTGGAGATTCATGTAATCAAATGTAGATGTTAAAATTGCAGGTTAATATAGAATTATCTGAAGATAAAGGTTAAATTGTTTGACTATTTTTATTCATTTTCAAGTCACATGAACATTTTGTGTTATTTTGATGCTCACATCAATGGTTTCGATCGCACGAAGATCCAAAATTACGAATTTAAATAGCTCGAGGACTTAGAACATACTTTTAATAATTGATTCATAACCATGCACGAAAGTTCGGGAATTTAATTTTTCATATTATTATTACTACCACTACTATTATTGAAACATCCAAGAAAGGTTAGTAGTATTTAGATTGTGATGATTTTGGTCACTCCAATTGGATCAAGTTTAGTAAAGCTTTCACAAGTAAACTTACTTAAAAATAAATAGTTAAGCTATAACCTAAATAGTTGCTTTTAGTAACTTATTAAACTACCGTAGTTGAAATTTAACGTGTTTCCATAGAGAGAAAAGTGACAAGGCCTTGTCATACCAATGGAACGGAGAGTGCACTTTGCGAAGCTTCTTTTAGATAAAGTTGGATTGTTAAGCTATGGAGCGGCGAAGCCGAATTCGATGCATGTAGAGTGTACTTGTATTGACATGCATACTCAAGTATAAACTCTATTGATGTCAAGGGTGGATTTATTTGCCACTTTTTCTTGGCGAGCTCTAATATGATCAAATTTATAAGCAAGTATCTTGACAAAATGAATTTCTCGTCATTCTATTTTAGCCGTGGTAATACATACATACATACATATATATGTATGTGTGTGTGTATGTATGTGTTAATGAAAGATCTTCGTATTTAATATATTATACGAGTATAGTATTGTTCTTTAAAACGTATATATTTGAAGGTAAAAACATGTGTTGACAGTAGAGATGTTAAATAGATCGAGCCGAGCCCATCGTTGGGCTCGGCCAACCATGCCATCCAACTTGCTCTTGCATATGGGGCGAGCCTAGCACGAGTTTGCTCGTTTTCAAAGTATAAGCTCGGCTTGCTTCACCAACTTGCCTTTGTTGAAATGAGCATATCCCTCTCACAAGCCAACTTAGCTTCTTTGCGAGGTTAGCCAGTAGTCAAAGGACTACTCGCTCCACTTTAACACTCCTAGTTGACAGCTTAAATTGTTTTTTTGCTTATATTTGAACAAAATAAAGTGTCACACACTTATTTACGAACACTTGTCTATCTTGAAATCTGAAAATTCAGTCTTTTATTTTTTTTAATACTGCATTATTTTCGTTAATGTTATAATCAGTCTCATATGATCATCTGAATGACTATGGATTCTTTGCTGTTCTTTAAGATGAATAAATTTATTTATATAAATATCGTCTCTAAATATATTTATTCATCAGCTTATTTATTCTAGCGGTTTGGCAAACAACTCCGCTGACTAATATGGATTACATTAAGGCCAACAAACGTGTGGAATTCGTAAAAAACTATTCTCATCGAATTGCATAACCAACTTGTTTGCCTGTCTTAAGAGTTTATATTATTTTAGTAAGAAGGGTTAATTAAGAATGAAATAATTCACATTTTAAAATATAAAAAACTCTTTATTACTCTTTTTCCAAAGTATGATTTATTTATTTATATGATATCCCTTTGACTTGATGTCCTAACTTCCGATACATTTGAAATTACAATATGAGACATAAACACACTCTCTTTCATTTTTATACGAGCAATAGAGCGTCGATGTGTGGAATTTAACTATATTGATATTATCTTGCAATAAAGAGGACATCAAAACTACAATTTCTTAATAGAGAGAAAAAAAATATATGTACGACTTCATAAACAAATTATAAATTCTTTGTCCCTAAAGTGAAACTTTATTCATGATACGTATTCGAGATTTAATTCTAAACATAATCTTTTGAGTGATTAATGGTTAGGTGATGAAATTATGCTAAATTTTTATTACATTGACACTTTGAGGCCACGTTGTACTATAATTTTTTGAGTTTAGGTAGGGATGTCGAAACTCGAGGCTCAAGTAGAATCATGTCGGGCATTTTTTTGGTACAAGCTGAGTTAAGCAAAAGTTAGACCAAAAATTCGAGGTTCGAGCCAAGTCAGCTCAAAAATTTATTATTATTATTATAGGCAGGGCGCAGCTGCCTATTACTGCACGTTTCCTTTATAAAGTTAGTGTGTGCCACCTATTTAAAGGCAGCTAATGCCTCATTTTTTTTTATTTTTTTTTTCTCTTCCCTTTAATGCAAGCCTACCTGTGGCTCGTCGGGCCGGCTCAAGCTCAATCCGACCCTCCAAAATGGGGCTTGGCTTGAGCCAACGAACCAAATTGTCATTCCTAAATTTAGGTCAAATATATTAGATGGGTGATTGAAAAAGTTATTAGATATGAGATTTGCTTGAGCATAATTTTGTGAAATTGACAAGGGAAATATTATTTTTTGGGAAAACATACAAACAAAAAGAAGATTTATTTCTACGGAAATTTAAAAAGAAAAACTTAAATGAGACGATAATAACAAATGATATCCTAACTTACTTGTTAAGCAAAACAAATAATTCAACTCCTTGGAAATATTATTGGTATTCGACTTCGACAGTTCAACTTAATAAATAAATCGATTTAAATGCTTCTTAAAAAAATATTGTCGGGAAGACCGGTACTTGTAATTTCACCTAATTTTGTGGATAATCTAAATTCTAAAGAACGGAATTTCAAGATTCAAAGTTGAATATGTCTATCTGACTATGAAACTATCATATTACATATATTTATCATTTTTGACATTGTGCCACGTGATGACACATGATTGGACTTTTAAAAAAAAAAAAACTCACTTTTCTGTAACACTTTTTAAATTCCATTGGAACGTACACCAAGATGTCAATCATAAAATGTACACCTATCATTATTCTCGTCACAAAATAGGCCTATAAACTTGAATGTGTGGAGTCAGAATTACAAGTCATGACCATGGAATGTGACCCAGTATCTTAGTCGAGTCTATAGACAACCCGAGTTTAATAACTATATTCTCATATCAAGACTATGAACATAGTTTAATAATTTAAAGGCTTTTGGGGCTCGTTTGACAAACTTTTGCTTTTGTCTCTTGTAAAAGAGAAGCTTGAGAAAGCTACCCCTCAATTATCCTAGGCTAACTTTCACCAAAAGCTCTTCTAGACAAACAAAGCAATTATTTTAAAAAATTATTCAAACAGGTTCAAAAGTTACTCTTGAGAACTTCTTAATCTCAAGAGTGACTTTTGATTTTTCAAAAACCAAACGGACCTTAAAGTGCTTGCTCAAAACCATATAGTTTTTTTTGTCAGGGGAATTATCAAACACAAGTAAAAAGAGACTTTGTAAACCCCCAGAATATTTATTGCATATCAGAAGAATAAATTGACATGAATTAATTTATCTCTGAAAGATTTCGCCATCCAACTAACATATCAATCACACAACTTATTATAAACTTAAAAAGTTGCCGGAACACCAGCACGGGTACTCCCTGCAACGCACATGAACCAAAGGAGTGAAATGCAAAAAGTTTTTTTACAGAAACATGTGGAGGGAGGGCAAAGTTATCATAAAATAGCTTTTAAGCTATTAAAATATAAAAACGACGCTATCGTGCACCCGGGACTTTTGGTTCTGGGCAACACATTCAGATATCCACATCAAGTTCCTGATTTCCTGCTCCTTCAACCTCATGTATGCAAAAAACACACCGTAATGGAACTGCATTACCAAATGATTAAGGACAGTGAGATTATTGTATAAAAATGGCGAAAAGGAGCACCAACAGGCAGACAAATAGGCAGCCTTTTTTGTAAATGCAACAGTAATTAGCCTCATTCCTTCTAAAAGCACGGTGATAAAATTCAACAGGAAGTTCAGAGAAACAAACCTGCTGCTCAAATGCTAAGCAAAGCCGTTTCACCTCCTCTTCATAAAATGCCTTGTCAAGCATCTGACTCTCACCATAGGATAACTTGGAAAATATGGACTGATAAGGAGGATATTTTTCCATGGCAGAACGAACCTGGAAAAAATAGAAATAAGAGCAGGCATAAATTAATTGCCTGATTGGAAGGCACTGTAAATAAGAGCAGACACTAATAACATAGGTCTTCAAGCATCCTTCTGGAAATTTCTCCAACAAATTATAAATTAATAATCACCTAATACGTAATTTTAACAATTTGATTGGTGACAATATTTCCTTATTTATGCTGTTTATTTGAATAACTTGTATATTTTGTGGGAGGGAGGGAGAGTATGTCGTAAGGATTTATATTCACTATCAAGAATCATACAATAGTGAGAAAACAAAGTCAGAATTGATCATGGACATTAGAATATGGATAAAAACTATTAAATACCTGATCTATATCCTCGCAAACAGCAAGTTCCTCGTGACCGTAAGGATATCTATCCATAGTTTCATCAACATTAGTTAGGGGAGAAGGAGCTCTATGAAACCATATCTATAGATTCAATACTTGAAAATAAAAGAAATCAATGCAAAAATCCCCTTACAGTAATCCGAAATTAGAGTACAATTTCCTACGATCATCTCGAGTAAGCTCAGTGCCAATGCTGAATGTTACGATAAAAGACATAAGACGGTCAGAAAAAGAAGGTACATAACTAATAGTTAAATTACGATGAACAATTCAGACTAAAGAACCTGTTAATGGTGATATTAACTGCCCTTCTGTCAGCCTCAAAAGCTAGGATGTCAGACATAATCTCTGCAGTGGCGCCACCAAGTTTCTATTTCAAAACTTTCAAGTTAGAGTCAAGTCCCACGGAGGAATTCAAGATACCAAGGCAAAAGAAAAGGAACTTTGAACATTCGAAAGTAAACCCTTTACCAGACAGAATCTATAGAAATCCTCGAGGTACGCTTTGTAGAGAGTATTCCTCATAATTTCAATATTCATGTCATCCAAGTCCTGCAACAATGTCCTAGTGAGGGAAAAGAAGCCAGACAGAACCCAGCATTAACTGAAAACTGTCCTCGTATCAAACCTTGTTCCGGCTTGGTCTTTACTAAAAAGCACATCCTATGGTTATTATTGCATAAAATGAAAGTACCCCCATCTTCAAGTATCATTTTTTTTCCCTTCTTCTGATAATAGAATCTCCTGGTCCAATTTTAATCAAACAATGCAAAATTTAACAGACTCAGTTAATCATTTAGGCATTTCTTTAGAAGCTACAGTAACTGGGAGTCAATAGCATGAAGAACAATTATTGAGATTGACTTTCACCACATTTTCTATATATTTCACTACAGAGAATAAAGCTCTGACATCTATAAATTGGCATGGCGTATATTCCTAAAAATATAAACCCACTAATAGTTAAGCTTCATGATGAGAAGACAGTAATAGTTGAACTTTGATGATACAAATGGGAATAGTGCAGGCAATTTCAGTAACTACAAACGAAACGTTTCTCAACTATCACACAGAAAAATTATTTGCAGCAACCAGTACCTCTGAAGTGATGCACTCTGAGAAGTATGGAGCCAGAGGTGTGTCAACAAGCACCAGTCTGTACAGCTCCCTCATGTTTTGGGCAACTGCAAGAGTAGCAATACTATGGAAAAGAAGTGCAAAATTTTAGTTCATTACCGCTTCATTTAGCATAGAATGTTAAGTTCACATAACTACCTGTCGAACATTCCCAGAGGATGGCATTTCTCCAACAATTCCTGAACGTCTCTCTCATGTAAAGTTCCCGTGACAATTAGAACAACATTGTCGATCATGTGACCATATCTAAATAAGAACAGTGTTACCAGGTAATATGACTATCACAGTAAATTTGGAAAATAGAAAGTCACTAGTGCCTTGGCGCTTAGAAATAAATTTCAATTTTATTCACAATACAAAAAGTAGGACAATATAAATTAAACAGACACTGTTTGAGTTTTTATTTTCATTGTTCTAAAAGGCTCATCTAGGCACAGGAAACGATTAAAATGCCCCCACTTCACGCCTAAGAGGGAAAAAGACAGTCAACTCTATGTTGACTGCTTAAAGGGCGTCTAGGCTAAGTGCTTGTTTGGTACAGATTTTAAACCAATTAAAATCAATTTTTTTACTGTCATTTCACTATTCTAACCGTCATTTTTGAATTCTTCTCTCACAGATAGAACTCATTTTATCACTAACCGTCAAAGATTCAATTTATCAAATCCCTACCAAACAAGCATTAAAAAAGGCACGCGAAAATGGTATTTTATTGTTCTAAAGTCCGATCCAACAAAATGCTCAACCAATGCATAAACTTAATAATAATAATAAGTCCAACAAAAAAACCCACCCTAGCTCAAACCCAGCTGACGAACATAGCTTTCTCTGTCCACGAACAACGCATTATTGATTTGTGGTATTTATGATTTTAAGAATTATGTTTTAGTTGGAAACTTGAAATCTTTGGGCGAGGGTCCTATAAGTCTTCACCCAAAGTTTTCAAGGTATGCATTATTTTGGGTGTGTTTGAGCCCCATTCTTTTTAAAGAATGTATTTTAAAATCGCAGATTGATGGAGAATGTGTAGTTAAAAATGAATAAAAATTTTTTGGTTTGTGTGTAATATTATTTTAATGAAAAATATGTAATTGAAAAGGAGAGAGAGAAAATTGTATTTTAGGAAAAATGAAAATAAACACCCCCTTTATTCATTTATTGGTCTAGAATAATTAAAATAATATTAAAAATAGGAAAATATCTTATTACACCTAGGCTTGTAAGGCTTGACCTCCATGCCTTGTCCCTTTTAGAACCTTGCTTATTTTACATATAAGTAAGGAGACAGAAATAGCATGAGCAAGTAAAATAAGTAAGCTCCAAACATGTTCACAATCTCCTGTTCTATCTAAAGCTTAAACACTATCAAATGGAAATATACTTCTAAAATTTTCAGTCTGCACTTGTTATAAGTATCATGTGTCAACTGTACTATGTACAAAGAGAAGGAGAAAGGAATCATACGTAACATATTCTAAGAAGGTTGACAGAGGCTCTGTGGCTTGGGTTAACATGTGCTTATACTCATCGACCAATTTAAGGGTGCATTTCTCCACGATTGTTGTTGTGTGCAATGGAGAAGGCTCTGCAATTGATAAAAAAAGAAAAAAAAAAACAAATTACAATGGTCGCAGCCAAAAAGACACATAAAACAAGTTAAACCAGCAATGCTTCACAGCTAACAGCACAAAAACATGTTCACTCTGTAAATCAACTAAATCATAGAAAGTATATATATTTAGAACCGCAACTTAATTGACTTCGTTGGTGATACTTATCAGAATAGGTAAGTTATTGGATAATGCTGATCTAGTTAATACGTTCTGAAAGAAGGGTGAATTAGCGGATATGGATCTAATATTAGGGTTGATCTACCAAAACACTACAAAATCAAGTGGTATTTGACCTAGTAACTCCAAAATGCATGCTTTCATTCTTTCTCCAAATGCATAAAATTTCCAACGCTTCACTGCAAAATTGAACTCCAAAAAGCTCGGAGCTACAGCAACAGTAATAACTAACCCTTATTTTCAATAAAGTTTATTTAAGTTCAACCGAATTATATTCTATTACTTTCCGAGTGATTTAAAACAACTTCCTCTACCCAAACAAGTCACTCTTATGAATGGAACTTCAATAAGTCGAGGCAAAATATGATCCAAAAATGCTCCAAACTAAGAATTAAAGTGAGAAGTAGAATAGACTAACCATTTTGGAGGTAGGAGCCATACTCAGTGGCGGAAAGGTGCATCTTGATGTCCTCGAGGGTTTCACATTGGCAGAGGTTGTTGTAGTCGGAGGCAGTGAGTAGTCCCGATCTATATCCTCGCACAATCGCCTCCAGGTACCCTCCGTGAATGTTGAAGGTCAGCGCTTCGAATCCGTACATTTTTCTACAGATCTGAAGCGAATCGTATGATTTGGAAAGATGAAATTGATCAGCCCCTGCAAAGAAACCCCAGCGCGATGCTTTTACAGTCTGAGATGTATGAATGGAGGGGGATTTTGTGGAGACGACGTGTTCATTATTATCACTATCTGATGGGTTCTGTAGCGTTAATTAGATAAGGAGAACCAATTTAAAATATTTAACAAACTTCAATGCCTACTTGTAAATTAACTCAAAAACTTTAGGATTAATATAGAGTAATTGCAACAGAAGTCCCAAAATTTTTGAAACATTAATAGACCTTTTCCAAATCTTTCATTTATTGCAATCATCGCTCCTAACATTTCCAAACGTTGCATATGAAATCTTTTTGGATGTTTTCCATAAAAAATACCGTTAGTTGACCATCAAAACAAACTTTGATTATCTTTTAATCAATTTTTAAAAGGGAAAAATAGCAACTTTCTATCTATCATATTAAAAAACTTAAATCAAAAACAAAAACAAAAAAACGAGCTTCTTCTTCACCACACCCACCCCCTCAATCTAAAACCAAGAGCCTGGATGGAAACTACCAATAGACAACTTACAAGGCATGGGTGGAAACAATCGGGAAGTCGATGGGCACTTGAAGTGGAGCTAGAGTGTGGGTGGAAATAAACAATGGACGACTTGTTGGTGTGAAGATAGGACAAAATTGAAAAGGGCAAGTTTCTCGTTGTGATACCATAAGCCCCATCAATCTCCTGACCTCGTAAGTTTAGTCTAACCTACTTGCTTAAGCGTATATATTTTCGAGCAGTACATAATTTATGAGGTTAGTTGGCTCGATTTTGAAAAGTCTTTTAGCAACTTCTCCACCAAATTCAAGATCCACATATATCTGGCAAGCTCCAAACTATGCTCCCCAGACAGTAGGGATGTCAATTGGGGCCGAGCCGGCTCGCGGCTCTTCGGCTCAGCTCGTGGAAAAGAGGCTCGTGGGCGGCTCAGGCTCGTGATTTCACGAGCCCGAGCACGAGCCAAGCGGGCCTCGCCGGGAGACGAGCCGCTCGTGGGCGAGCCCACAAGCGGCTCGTTTTGACAAGCCACGAGCAGCTCAGCTCATGGCTCGTAAAATGATGAGCCACGAGCCGCTCGTTGAGCCTGTGACCAAAACGGTCACAAAAGTGACTGTTTTGGTCACTTTTCAGTGACCGTTCTGGTCACTAAATTTTGGTCGCTGAATAAAATTTAGTGACCGTTTGGTCATTGAACTTTTATTTTTATTTTATTCCCCCCAAAAAAAAAAATTTCATATCAATTGCTCTTCCAAAATTACAACCCTCTCAACTCTCTTTTATTATATCAATTATCGAGTTTTTACTCTCTTGTGCTGCAAAATATACAATATCAATTCAATTTTTACAGTTTATTAGTTACAATTTCAATTCATCCAATTCTCACAATCTCACTACATTTATATTTATCTAGTCAAGATTTCATCATAAACAATCACAGAAATGGATTAACGTTCATTTGTTGAGAGCTTGTTCGATACAGGATGTGAGCCATTGCCACATCATGGAGAATCGTCTAGGGACGCCGCAAAGTCAATTTCCAAATGAATTTGCCGGTCTAAATGACATACCGATACCTGAAGATGTTCACATTCACGGTCAGGGAAGCCACACTCCAATTGATTTGGATGATATTAACGTTCCCGAAGCGGAACATAAAGATGAAGATCAACAATTTAATATCTCAGATGTGAGGGGAAAGCGAAAGGCCAAAAAACAAGCAAAATGTTGGGATCACTTTAATTTGATTTCAACGGGAAAAGTCGTTGATGGCCTTGCAGAATCTAAAGTAGTATGTAAATACTGTCAACAAAGATTGGCATGTCAAAAAGGAATTGGTACAACTCATCTCAACCGCCACTACAAATCATGTGCAGCTAGACATGAACTTCTTCCAACTGGTCAAACACAATTACAATTTGGCAGTCCAGGCGCCGGTTCTACAACTTTACCCCTATCCATGTGGGTGTATTTGGAGGACGAGACTCGAATCGGAATGGTGAAATTTGTTGCCGCCACTGAGTTGCCTCTGATTATTGCAGACAACCAACATTTCGTCTCGTTCGTGAAAGAATATCTACAACCGAGGTACATTGAGGTAAGTCGAAACACTCTTCGTGCCGATACAATAAATTATTTCAATAATTCAAAACAACAATTAATTATGGATTTACAACAATATGGGGGTGTTATATCCTTAATTTCTGATATGTGAGAAGGGGTTAATAAAAGAGCATATATAGCTGCAACCGCACACTATATAAACCCACTTTGGTGCATGCATAAGAAAATTATTGCTTTTAGAATTATTGAATTTCTTCACAATGCTAATAATATATATAATGCTATTATCAGTATTGTTAGAGAATATCATTGTGAGAGTAAAATTCGATCTTTTATTTTTGATAATGCTAGTGTTAATAAGGTAGTCATCGATAAATTGTGTAGGACACTTCAACCTGATTTTAGTGGGTATTTGTTTCATATTCGTTGTGTGTGTCATATCTTGAATTTAATTGTGCAAGATGATTTAAAACATATAAATGATAAACTTCAAAGGATTAGAAATGCATTAATATATATTACGATCTCTCCTAATAGAAAACAAGCATTTGAAAATTTTTGTGCCGAACTAAGGGTGATGACTGCTAAAACATTTGTTAACGACGTAGGTCATAGATGAAACTCTACATACTTGCTATTAAAATCATGTGAAGGTTTCAAAAATTTAATAACTGACTTTTATAATAATAGACATGTTAGAAGTGATGATGATGGTATGTTAAATGAATCCGATTGGATTTTAGTTTTGAAAGTTAAACAATTTTTGACATCTTTTTATGAGACCACAAAGATTTTATCCGGCGTTTAATATCCTACAAGTTGTATGGTGCTTGAACGCCTTTATATAATTGCAAGAACATTCCATAAATATAAAAATGATCCTACTTTTAGTGAAATTTTAATTGCCATGGAATTAAAGTTTAGAAAATATTGGGAAGAACTGTCTATATTATTTCCTTTAGCATGCGCAATGGACCCCCGGTATAATATTTCGGGAACTAAATACGTGATTGATCAATTCAATAAAGTTTTAATACTTGATACACCTATTACCTATAAGAATTTAGAGCAAACATTATGTGGAATGTATGATTTATATGCGGAAAGAATGGGTGCAAATGTTAGTCGGGCACCCTCTGTTGCACCTACTCTTTCTGCTGAAACTGAAAAAGATGCTGCGAAAATAACGAATTTATTTCAGAGCATTAATAGATTTAGATATGATGCAACTGCAATGTGTTCATCTAGTGCCATGTTGTCTATATCTGCATCTCATCAAACATCGAGCGAAACTCAAAATACGATGCCTGCCGAATTAATTGATTATTTCAATCACAATATGCCAACAGACAGAACAATTAAAAAAATTTCAGAAGAAGTAATTGAATTCTGGCGAAAGTATGAAAGACGTTGGCTAATTGTTTTTGCAATTGCGAAAGATCTATTGACACCTCCGGTTAGCACTTTGCTTCGGAGTCTGTTTTTAGTGCAGGTAAAAAGGTTTTGACTGATGTCAGGAGCCGGCTGAAAGAAAATGTTTTGGAAGCGTTAATGTGTGTGAAGGATTGACAAGACGCTCATTTTCGACTACAAGATAAGTACGCTAAAATTGCATGTCGTCAGATAAGTGATATTTGATTTAATTATATTAATCTATTTTTTTTTACTTTTTAATCGTTAAATTTAATTTTCTTTAAAAAATTGTACACGTTACAACAAGTTGTTCGTGTACAATTTTTAACTCTGCCTACTTAAAATTGATATAGCCGGTCCCAAATTCGGATAAAGGAGGAGGGTTTACATTTTATTAACTTTAAAAAAAATAAAAAAAATATATATTTTTTAAATGTCTTTCAAAAAATAATTCGTTTTCATTATATAAATATTTTATACTTTATAAAAAGTATTACAAATTACAATATGATATAAATAAAAAAAATAAAAACTTGTTTTCGTTAAATTATTTGTATTTTTTAACACTTTTTATTTTTAAAACTCTATTCTTTATTAATTTTAAAAAGAAATCAAAAAAATATATTTTTTGTAAATGTATTTCAAAAAATAATTTGTTTTCATTATATAAATATTTTATACTTTATAAAAAGTATTACAAATTATAATATGATATAAATAAAAAAAATAAAAATTTATTTTTGTTAAATTATTTTTATTTTTTAACACTTTTTATTTTTAAAATTCTATTCTTTATTTAAAAAAAAAAAATAGGCGAGCTCACGAGTCGAAACTCAGCTCGGCCCACGAGCCAAGCTCGTGGCATTAAGGGCCGAGCCGGGCTCGGCTCGGCCCATTGTCAACCCTACCAGACAGATATATAAGGTTCAATTGGCATTGTTTCAATGAATTTCTTAGCTTCCAGTAATTTAACTGCGTAGAATCTGGAGCTGATACCAAAAATTGGAACTAAAAATAGTAGGTGCCGCTACTGCAGGTATAGTTGACTTCGTCGGCAGAGATTGGCCAAAACCACTAGTAACTAGATTGAGAGGGTGCGTGGGGGGAGGAGAGAAGAAGAAGATCATTTTTTCTTTTTTCTTTTTTTCTTTTTTGGTCTTTGATTTAAGCTTTTTAATTGTTTAATATGGTAAATAAAAAATTACAATTTTACACTTTAAAATTGATTAAAAGGTGGTCACCATCCAAAAGAGCCTCATATGTAACGTTTGAAAGTGTTATGGGTGATGCTGCAACAAATGAAAGATTTGGAAAAAGCATTGCTAATATTTTTAAAAGTTTGGAGGTTCTACTGCAATTATCCCATTAATCTATTAGAAAATGCTAGTTTGACAACCCTCTCACAAACGTGGGGCCGCGATTATTTAATCTCCAGCCTCACTCCTTACATGTAAGAGGGCTCTCAATAATGCTATCAAATATGATTTACATATAGCACAATTCAGATCAATTTATACACTTTTGATATACATAATCCTTTACATCTCATTCACATGAAGAGGGTCCATGCATAATAAATTATATGCGAGCCCTCTTCTATGTGAAGGTGTAAACGATTATGTAAGCCAAAAGTATACA